TCTGGAGTTGACTCCTTAGCAAGAAATTGGGGCCAAAGTTCATGGGACCATTCCCCATAGTAAAGATCATCAACCCAGTCACGGTGCAACTGAAGTTGCCCCAATTGTTCGGGAAAATAAACCCAGTATTCCATAGTAGCCTCTTAAAACCCGGGGTCGGATTGACTCTGATGCCCCTAACTCATGAGACCCCAGACCCCATGGTCATATGAGGCCCATTATGAGATCCGGCAAATTCTCAATTCGAGGTGGCACAGGAGACAACTCCAACATTTAATCAAGTGAAAGAGCTATCCCTTATCAGAGCTATCTTGGGTAAAGAGTAGGAAAGTCCAAGCTGATTGCCTTGTAGCAAGGTTCCATGCAGAAAATCCAACCAAGCGATGGGGTGGGTGGGATTTTGCAACCCTAAGTTCTATACCTGTAATCAATTTGTGGTTTCTTTATGTTGTACACGTCACTTTCAAGAAGTGAGGAGAGCTGAATGTCAATTCATAAAACATTTCTAGGCCCGTTTTACAGTTGCCAACAGAAAGCGGGGGGAGAGCGGAAGCAGTTTGAAAGAGCAGTGCAACAGTTTGGAATCGAAAGTGCATTCCATTTATAACTTGCAGAGATTGTAAGTAGCTGAACGGAGTCTCTGCCGTACAAATCGCTAATTGGAGAATGTGATTGATGACTCTTGGTTATGGACGTATTTCGTTGGAGAATATGAATTATGATGCACCCAAAGGGGTGGGAAAAACCAGGGTCAAGGGTGACAGTGAACTACGTGTCTCACAATCGGCTTCAAACAGGTCCTGCCTACATGTTCACTCCTAATAAATTCATTATAGGTTTTGAAGTTTGGCTCGAGGCTCACGATTTAATTAGGGCAACTGCAGGAATCCTGACACCATATTTGTTCAGTCTTTTTCTAATTGCACTGTCATGCACTGAAGCCTGCAGTAATGCACTAATTGCACTAACTGAAGCCTGCAGAGTCTGAGATATAACTCTTTGTTTTTTAGCAATTTCTCTGGCCATTGCATCGTCTGGTCTTGGGGCGAATTTTCTTTGATGTCCATTCCTGGGAAGATTGGCAACTGTCTGAAATGTTTCCCACTTGTGAATAATCTTTCTCATTGTAGAATGATGTATTTTAAATTGTTTGGAAATAGCCTTTTAAACCTTTCCAAATTGATGGGGAGTAACAATTCTTACATTGCTAAGAATTTGTGATTGACCCAGTCAACAAGTGAATTTCAAAGTTTTTCATTGGAATATAAATGTTTTTCTTTTTTTCTCCTCTTCTACAACCATTAAAGATACCTTTTTATTTGAATCTTATAGACAAAGAGGATGGCAATAAGAGCACTCTGGACAACTGAGGAGAACAAGCAACACTGAATAGCAAAGCAAGTCAGTCCAGAAATCAAAATATCTTCCGTTTCCTTCAAAGAGCCACACAATTCTTCACCTTCCTCAGCAAGTAAGAGAGAAACTAGAGAAAATCAAGAAGAGATTTCTAGCTGGGAAAAGTAGAATTCAAGCATATGTTACATGAAAAGTGAACGGAGATTATTTTTCCATTCAGCAAAAGAAGGAAATGAAAAAGTTAGTGGGGAGGAAAAGGTCAAGTGGAAAGCCATGTAGAGCAGACGGTGTTGCAGGCCTCACTCTGGGAGCAAGAAAATCACCAGTAAATCAAAGCATCACTAAAGGGATCATCCATATTTTTGACCTCAAGAATATGAGTTGTGGAAGAGATCCATAGACATGCCAAGGTAACAATATGCGAATCACAGCTGATTATGAATGAGAGGATCCAGACTGGAGAAAAACCTTACATATACACTGATTGTGGCAAAACCTTTGATCAGAACAACTCCATTTTGTTTCATGAAAGGACCCACATAGGAGAGAACCATACAAGTGCTCCCAATGTGGTAAATGCTTTAGCAAGCATGGCAACGTGGACTCACAGGAAGGAGAAACTGTTTGAATGTCCTGATTGTGGGAAATGTTTCTCTCATAATTCCAACCTAGTGACACACCAGAAGACTCACACAAGAGAAAAACCCTTTGAATGTCCTGATTGTGGGAAAAGTTTTAGTAACAATTCCAGCATGGCTAAACACCGGAGGATTCACACAGGAAAGAAACCCTGTGAATGTCCTGATTGTGGGAAAAGTTTTAGTAACAATTCCAGCTTGGCTCAACACCAGAGGATTCACACAGGAGAGAAACCCTTTGAATGTCCTGTTTGTGGTAAAAGTTTCAGTGACAATTCCAGCCTGGTGAAACACCAGAGGATTCACACAGGAGAGAAACCCTTTGAATGTCCTGTTTGTGGGAAAAGTTTCAGTCAGAATTCCAGCCTTATTGGCCACCAGAGGATTCACACAGGAGAGAAACCATTTGAATGTCCTGTTTGTGGGAAAAGTTTCAGACAGAATTCCCATCTCATGAGACACCAGAGGATTCACACAGGAGAAAAACCCTTTGAATGTCCTGATTGTGGTAAAAGTTTCAATCAGAATTCCACCCTTGTTCAACACCAGAGGATTCACACAGGAGAAAAACCCTTTGAATGTCCTGATTGTGGTAAAAGTTTCAATCAGAATTCCACCCTGGTTCAACACCAGAGGATTCACACAGGAGAAAAACCCTTTGAATGTTCCCATTGTGGTAAAAGTTTCAGTGACAATTCCAACCTGGTGAAACACCAGAGGACTCACACAGAAGAGAAACCCTTAAAATGTTCTGACTGTGGGAAATTTTTCAGTCAGAATTCCACCCTGGTTCAACACCAGAGGACTCACATAGGAGAGAAACTCTTTGAATGTTCTGATTGTGGAAAAGTTTCTCTCAGAGATCACAGCTCGTGGTGCACCAGACGACTCAACCAGGAGAGAAGCCCTACAAGTGCTCCCAATGCAGTAAATGCTTTAGCGAGCATGGCAACGTGGACTCACACCAAGGAGAAATCGTTTGAATGTCCTAATTGTGGAAATTGTTTCTGTGATAATTCCAGCCTGGTGACACACCAGAGGACCCACACAGGAGAGAAATTATACGAGTGTCCAGACTGTGGGAAAGATTTCAGTATTAGGAGTAGCCTTCTGAATCATATACACACAAGGGAGAAACCATTTAAGTGCCCTGAGTGTGATCAATACTTCAGGAAACCTTCCAATCTTATCGCACACAAGAAAATCCACATGAGGCCCAAAGTGATGAGTGTAGAGAAGGCTTGAATTTCATTTCTAACTTCGTATTGTAAGTCCAGTTGAGAAATAGATGACTTTGTTTGCAAAGAATTTGCCTTATTCTTTGTAGGCAAATATGTCATGGTATTAGATGGGAAGGAGGAAAGAAAAAAAAATGGAACGTATTAGTTTGATAATAACTATCTGGCTATCAGCAGCAGAGGTTGCTGGATATTCATTTTTGCAGAAATTGGGAATTATGTGAAAAAATTTTTTGGGAATGTTCTTTGCATCTCTATCAATGTAGATGATAGAAATACCACATACAGAGTGCCAGCCTTTTTCTCCCTGCCTCTCTCTCAGAATTCTGCAGCCAGCATCTCATGGGGAGGGATAGGAGCACTCAGGCTATATTTAGAGATTGTGGTTCCTCATATAAAGAGAAAGCGAGAGGAGAAGAGAAGTAGAGGGTTTCAAAGTTCATCTTAACAGTTCCAGCAATTCAGTGCATGTCTGTTCAGATTGTGTCAAGAATGAGGCACGCAAGTGGAAGATACCATATGAGTAGCAAATATATTGGGGGAGTTTGTGGCAATGACAAAACCAGGGTAAAATTTCAGATGTAAAAGCTGTTCTGCCTTGCAGGTGACCTTCATGGAGAAGAGTTGAGGAGAAAAAGGATTGTAGTTTTGGGCACAGGATCTCCTGGTTTATCTCCTGTGATCTCCTTTGTTTTGAGGGCCTCCTTGTTAGCCTTTGACAGCTGGGTGTGAGAGCATCCATAAGGGACTGATACTTTAGTGGTCCCCTCCCCCCCTTGGTAGAGAGATGTGAGAAAAAAATTGCACTGTAGATAACGCTTCATTTCTAAAACAGAATTGGGTAAGAAGCATCAATAGCTTTTTGAGAAAGACAAAGGAAAGTGTTGGCATTTCTATAAATGTTGGGACACGGTAATGCAAAGCTCTCTTCCCAAACACGTGGGAGACATTTTCTGTTCTTCCACTTCTCTCCCAGGGCTCCTTAATGTTTTTTTTTCAAAATCCATTTTAAATAAAGAGAGGAACATTATTTGTAGCAGCAAAAGTGACATTTTAGCTATGCAGACGAATAATCCTGATTTTGCTGGGATCGGAAGACACCAAAGAATTCCAAGATGGTTGATTTCACCACCACCGTTCAAAATTACAGGTTACAATCTTTTTTAGTAGGTCTCATTGCACGTGATCCCTTTGTAGGAGGACACTCAGTGATCAGGAGCAGATCAGGACCGGCATCTGGAGGAACAAAGGGGCTCTTTTGGTCTCAGTCTCTAGCTCCAAATTACTTTGAATTTAAACATGTGCAAAATTTCTAAACTTTAAAATAGTAAATGTATCTTTCATCATTTTTCCTTTCTCACTTTCCTTGGTGTCACATGTTAGTGCATATGTTTATCATGTCTCATCTTATGGTTAGGAGTTAGAAACCCTTGCAAAGCCTCAGGATATTTGTATAAGGTCACATAAAGATATCAGGCAAAATTTAAGAAAGCCAATCTAAGAGTCAGATTTTATTCCATTGGTGGTACTACATGCTTTAAAACCGGTTCTCCTTCATAGTGGGGTTGTCGTTATGGACGTTTCTTTTCTTGGAAACAATATGGAACTGATAATGCCACTGCTTCCTCCTGTGATTTTTTTTAACTTCCATACCTAGCAAACAAACACAGGATTTCCTAGTGATGCACCATCCATTTATTATCCTGACATAACTGTGTTTAACCTAGGATTTTTTTAAATACTGTATTTTTCAAAATGTGAGATACACTTTTTCCACCCCCAAAAGTGTGTGAAAATGTCTGTGCATCTTATACAGTGAATGTGGCTGAAGCCCCGCCCACCCACTAGTCCCACCCTTTGGGCTCTGCTTCCCAGCAATTTGCCTCCTTGCAGTAAACAGCAAACAGCCTAATTAGCTCCAGCACAGCCTGATAGCACAAGCAGCTGATCGTCAGTTGGATCGGCCTTACGACGATCAGCTGTTTCAGGCTGCAGGTATTGCCATTGCCTATTTCTGCCCGTTCTGATCCCCACTGCCTAGAATGGGCCAAAATCGGGCACACGGAGGCTAAAAACGGGGCGTGCGGAGGCTGAAAACGGGATGCAGAGGCCGAAAATGGGGCGCGCTCGGGCAGCAATTGGCTATGGCAATCCCTGCAGCCTGAAACAGTGATCGTTCGGAGGCCGATCCAACAATCAGCACAATTAGCACAATTGCTTGTGCTAATCAGGCTGTGCTGAAGCTGACCAAGCTGTTTGCTGCAAGGAGGCAAATTGCTGGGAGGCAGAGGCAGGGTTTTTTTTTTGTTTTCCTCCCCAAAAGTTAGGTTTGTCTTATACTTCGGAGCTTCTTAAATGAACACCCTTTGGGATGTTCGGTCTTACAGACAGTCCTCACTTATCACTTACATTGGTGCTGAAAAAGTGTTCCTCAACGTTGTGGCCATCACAGTTATTTGGGGTTGGCACTGGCTTGCAATTACGATAATTGTGGTGTCCCACAGTCATGGAATCACCATTTGGAACCTTCACAATTGGCTTCCAACAAACAAAATTGACAAGAACTTGCAAGTCACAGTCATGGTACATGTGATGACCCGAGGCGTGGCACTAAGGCAACACAGTCAGATAAGCAACAGGAGTCCCTTTATTAGCTCCAACTTTGCCCCCAATGTCCAGGTTACCTTCCGGCTGGAGAAAAACTCTCCCAGGAATAGCCTTTGACTGCAGAAAATTCAGTCCAAAACAAGGTACACACAAACTGTAACTTCAGTCCAAACAAGCCAAACTGAAGTAATTAGTTTGGCAGGGCAGGAGCAAGAATTGGAGACTTGAAAGCATGGCAAAACTCACACAGTTGGGAAAATGCCAGGAACACAGATAAGCCACGACAATACAAGATAAAGTCACATTTCCTCCCAGCAGCCTGCTGCACGCAGCTTGCCTTTTTTATACACTGTGTTCCCAGCTGCAGCTAATAAAGGGAATCAGGCCCTTTTCTCCCTCCGTAAGCCACACAACCTACATTGCTCTCTTCTCCATTCCTCCCTGTGTGCCCTAGGATGAAGAGGGAGTGGGCCCTCTGAATTCCCTCTCCCTTGTTTTACGTTTTCCCTGCTCTGCCCAGTCGGACTTTGCCCTTCCCCAGTTTCCTCCACAGCCAATGGAGCCACACTCCCACTCCCTGTCAGCTGTTTGGCTTCCTTCTCAGATTCAGACTCCGACAGGGGCATGACACTACGTTGCACTAAACAGAACATGGTGATTCACATAATGACCACAGAACAGATATTGTAAGGTGGCATGGTTAAGTGAGGACATTTAATGACCACATCAGTTAGGAATAGATTGCGGATCCCAATGGCTGTCATTAAGAGAGGACTATGTTAATCAGTGTGGTTGTACACAGTATTTCTTGCCTTTTTTCTTACAGATAGTCCTCAACTTACAACAATTCATTTAGTAACCACTCAACAGCACTGAAAAAAGTGACTTGATGATTGTTTTACACACAACCATTGCAGCATCCCCATGGTCACATGATCAGAATTCAGATGCTTGCCAAAACACCCATATTTATGACAGTTGCAGTGTCCCAGAGTCACGTGATTCTCTTTTGTGACCAGGAAAGTTAACAGGGAAGCCCAATTCACTGAACAATTGTGTGACTAACAACAGCAATGATTCACTTAACTGTCACAGAAAGAGATGTCTCCCTTAGCAACAGTGAAATTTTGGGCTCAACTGTGGTTGCAAGTTGTAAGGACTACCTGTATTTACACAAACTATGAGAGTTGGAAGGGGCTTTAGAGGTCTTCTACTCCAACCCCTGTGATCAATGCCGGAGACTCTATTCCATTTCAGACAAGGGACTGTGCAGTTTCTTCTTAAAAGCCTTCAGTCGACATCCATGGGGAAACCTGGTCCTTTAAATTTTGCTGAGGTGCTTGAGATCATTTCATCAATTAACGTCCCCCCTTGCTCTAAAGTTAGATCAAAAGGTGTGAGTGTACCGTAAGTAGTAATCACAAACATTCCCCATCCCCCCAGATAATGAAATATTTTTGGGGATATTAAAAGGCAGAATATTATATTTCCCCAAAGGAGAAATGGAGAGAAAAAAATCTTAACAAAGGCAGAAAGCAGCCCCACAGCTTCCAGCAGATGCCTGAAGTCTTTAGAGGTGGATGTTTTGTGATCATTAGGAAATCCAGGCCAGCCTATTCACAAACAAACAACCTTCAGCTCCAGTTGATGGGATTAAAATGTGCATTGCCCCGCCCAAATTCTAAGAACAGGAGGGTGACCTTTTAGGACATAATAGGATTAACTCACCACCATTGAAAAAGCGAAAGACACAAAAGCCCCTTTCATTGCACAATCCTGAGAACAGTTCATACTTCAAAGTCACAGAAATCTATAAAGACCCATCTACACATTCAGCCATTTTGTCAGCTTTCCCAGAACTTCATGCTGTTGTTTATTTTTATTTATTTATTTATTTTATTTATTTATTTGATTTGCCAATTGTTTACAAAATAAGTATAAATGTATACATAGTTGTGAATACATGAAATGGTTACATATAAGAAAAATAAAAGAATAAGAGAAACAATAGGACAGGGACGGTAGGCACGTTGGTGCGCTTATGCACGGTTCTGCTCATCAATAAACGGAATCCTTCTTTTCAATCAGTTGCAAAGGTCGGTTGCCAGGAGTCGAAAACGACCTGCTGCCATGTAATCAGTGAAAACATCTTCCAAAGGCTTTGGTGGAGCCGGGAAAAGCGTGTTTTTCTACTTTCTGTCGCTAGATGGCAGTGATGCAAGATCTGCCTAGAAAGCCATCCACAGTTTAGCGCCATCCGTGTTTGAGCTTAAAAAAGAAGAAATTTTTAAACCATTGAGTACTTTATTGCTAGAAAGGATGGGAGGAGATGAGAAGCGCCGAGGAACTTCCTCTTCCGGGAAGCTAATGGGAGGAAGACGGTGCGCAGAGCGGCTTCTGTGCTCTTCCCAGGATGGAAGCAGCAATTGGCAGGTGAGTTGGGGGCAACAGGTGGGAGGAGAGTTCGGGAGCAAGTCAGTTCACTTCCCTCCACGGCCTGGAAGCAGAGAAGCAACTGGGCTGAAGCGTGTCAGCTGCAGGTTCCTTCCCTCCCCAGATCGGAGCCCGCTGGGGCTGCAGGCTGTGAAACTGGTGGCTGCAATTTTCTGCTGGGGAGAAGATCTAAAAAGCCTCTTTCAAACGAAGGTGGATCCTTTGGGAATGGCTCCCCTCCAGAGGTTGTGGGAGCTCCGTCACTGGAGGGTCTTCAGAGGAGATTGGACAGCCGTCTGTTCGGAATGGAATAGGGTCTCCTGCCTGAACAGGGGATGGACTAGAAGACCTCCAAGGTCCCCCCCAACTCAATTATTCTGCAGTGGACCTGATGTTTTCCGGGCAACAAGATCGGATTGATGTGCCCCTTCTGGGTCTTTTCTGGCTTGTTTTACTTTCATCTCTAGCTTACAAGAACCGTGTTTTCCTTTTGGTCCCCGCTTCCGTTTATTCACCAGGTTCAACTGCTTAACCCAACACTTTTTAAACAATAGCTATTGAATGTTTTGATTGATCAGTTGTATTTCTTTATAAAATTTATTGGCAGCCAACCTTATCATGACACAACTGTGGGCAACTTAGAGACAAAAAATATATGCACATTAAAAGCTAGGTGACACAGATGCCTGTCCCAATTACAGTCAGTAAGTGAGGACTACTACAATTGGGATGTCACCAAAGGGGTTGTGGAAGGCATTTTCTGCCCTTACTTGGAGCACAGGATATTGATACATTTCTTTGCTTTTGCTTCATTACATACAGTAAGAGGCAGCTGGCACACGACAGAAATGTAGAAATTATAAAAATTACAAAAATAATCAAGCATGCCTTCTGTGGTTTTGGTTACATGACTAACCCACAGGTTAGTGCGGGTGTCGGCAACCCGTGGCTCTGGAGCTGCATGCATCTCTTTGGGCCCTCTGCTGTGACTCCTTATCCCATCACCGGCTGGCCCTCACCCTCCCCTCCCTCGCCTGGCCTGAGAAGGTATCAAAAAAGAGAGAGAGAAAGAAAGAAGGGGGAGGAGAGAGACGGGGTGGGAAAGAGAGAGAGGGGCAGAGAGATACAGAGTGAGGGGGAGAGAGAGACATAGAGAAGGTTTTTGTGGCTGGGTAGGCATGGCTAGGGGGGTCGTGACTGGGTGGAATGAGTGACATCGAGTTGGCCATGCCCACCCAGGTTTTGTGGCTCCCAGTGTTTTATTTTTCTGTGGGAAAAGGGTCCAAATGGCTCTTTTGAATGTTTAAGGTTGCAGACCCCTGGGCTAGTGGTTTCCTGTGAAAGTTTCCATGGCCTCAGAAACCTGTTGAGGCCTGAACCATCTCAACAGATGAGCAATCACCAAATTGATCAAATTCCTGATTAAGAGCAGAAGGTTAAGAGCAGAAGGTTTGACTGTAACCATTTTGAGATATTTTTCAGGCTTGAAAGACATTGATTGACATTGATTATCATCTCATGTATATCTCCAATTATATAATCTCTCCCCAGGTTTCCAGGTAGACAGTCGTGTGAAAAAGAAAGTACATTCTCCTTGACTTCTTTGAGCTTACAAATCAGGACATAGTAAAAAAAATCAATTGGTCCTTAGAAGTTCTTAAAAGTCGGAAAAATACAATCACAGACGAACAACAATACATGGCATATTACATCAGATCATCATTTATT